TATATATATATATATATATATTATATTAGTGGTAAATATACATACATATGCAAAATATATAAATACCCATACATGTATATTTTTAGAATAAAAATTCCAAGAGGATAGAATCCAGGTAGAACTCAATGTCTAGGACAGAGTAAGGATATAATAAATAGGCTTAAACACTAATATTCCATGGTCATAATTTATTCCATTGGAATCGTAAATACGATCAAATTCATCAGAGCCACAAATTAAAAAAGAAAACAGAAAAAACAACTCCGGAAATAAAAACAGAATTTAGAGGGAGTGTAAGTATGAGAAGTATATGTCACCACGAAATGTATCTTTATGCATTAGACATCCGACAACATTCCTTTTTCTCTTACTTAAACCCCTTCCATCCACCTGTCCTAAAATTTTTCTAAAGGTTTAATCTCCCCTCCTCCTCATACTTACACTCTCTCTAAATTCTGTTTTTATTTCCGAGTGGTTTTTTCTGTTTTCTTTTTGAATTTGTAAGTCTGATGAATTGGATCGTACTTACGATTCCAATGGAATAAATTATGATCATGGAATATTAGTGTTTAAGCCTTTTTATTTTATTTATATATATATATATATATATATATATATATATATATATATATATATATATATATATAAATATGTCATAAAATCAAAAAAATGTAAATAAGAAGAAAAGTAATTGTCGTGTGAATGCTTTGGATCAAGAATGTTCATGATTTTTTTTTCGGTTAAATGTACTTTTTGTTTGTTTGTTTTTTATTTCCATATTCCATATTTAATATTCTATATTCTACTATTACATATTCCATATTCTGCTATTCCAATATTCCATATTCTGCTATTCCTTATTACATATTCTGCTATTCCTTATTCCATATTCTGCTATTCCATATTCCATATTCTGCTCTTGCATATTCCATATTCTGATATTCCAATATTCCATATTCTGCTATTCCAATATTCCATATTTTGCTATTCCAGTCAAGAAAATAGTTGCAAACAATGAAGTTGAAAACAGATCCTTAGAAAATAAAGAATTCGGTTGAATGACGTCATTTCTATTGAAAGGCATGAAAACATCGATGTTAATCTTTTTGGGTTCAACAAGCAAACAATTGGGAGTGGGAAACAGTGAAAGATTCGTTTTGTGAGGGAAAGAATGCTTATATAGCTGGCGATGGAGGGGAAGCGGATTCATGCCTTTCACTGGGTCATTATCCGTGGCACCAGCCGTACATCCAAGTTTGCAGCAACTGGCTTTCCAGAGTGGTCAGCAATCTAGGTACAGCCCACGTTCCTTAAATTCGGTGATTGGATGGGAACTAGTGTTTCAACCTGATTTGGCCGTAAAGGTAGATAGATAATTAACTAACTAAATATATATATATATATATATATATATATATATATATATTGATTGATTGATTGATAGAGAGATAGATAGATCTAAACAAATTAAGATAGATTGATTGATTGATAGATTTAAACAGATTAAGAGAGATAGATCGATAGACAGATCGATCAAAATAGACTAAGATAGATAGATAGATAGATAGATAGATAGATAGATAGATATGCAGACATAGATAGATAGATATATAGAAGGATAGATAGATAGATTGATTGATAGATCTAAACAGATTAAGAGAGATATATCAATAGATAGATCGATCAAAATAGACTAAGATAGATAGATAGATATGCAGACAGATAGATATATAGATAGATAGATCTAAATAAACTAAGATAGATAGATATAGATAGATATGAGGGGAGATAGATAGATAGATAGATAGATAGATAGATAGATAGATAGATAGATAGATTGATTGATTGATTGATTGATAGATCTAAACAGATTAAGATACATAGATCGATCAAAATAGACAGATAGATAGATACTGAGATAGATAAATACATGAATACATAGTTAGAAACAAATATTCATAGATATGAAAAGAAGTAGATAGATAGAAGCGATATATATGAAAAATATATACACAGAGAGACACAGACACACCCACATATACACACATATATATTGATAGATAGATAGATAGATATGAAAAGACGAGGATAGATAGATAGATAGATAGATAGATAGATAGATAGATAGATAGATAGATATCAGAAACAAAAGGAAGATTCCATTAATTTTATACATTTATTAAGCGGGGTTTAAATATAAAAGTTGTTTTTTTTTCTTTTAGATGTCGTCTAAGAATTGCTTAAAAATCTCTTTATCCGACTAAGTACGTAGAAAGCTGAATGAGATGTGCTAAGATTTCTCAGACAATAGATCATTTTTTTTCACTATTTCAAAATCCCCATCAATACACATTCAGTTTACACAATATGCATTGTTTGCCATCGTTAAAGTTTAATAAACACGATGGTTGAAGATTTCTTAATTTTCTAAATTTTTATAAGCGGACGCCTCATTTATTCGAGTGGTTAGAATAATCTTCAGTTGTAAGATAAATTATAATTAGACAATGGTGAATGGAAATATTATTTGTTTAGGTGTGAATATGAAAATATCATTAGAATTAAATCCGAAAATAGAAAAATAATGGATGGCAATTGGATACATTGGGGTGAACGTAACAAAGGGAAAAGCAGTTGATCTACAAGTACTAATTAAAACAAATTCATAAGATAGATAGATAGATAGATAGATAGATAGATAGATAGATAGATAGAAAATGAACAGAATGAGATAGATAGATAGATAGATAGATAGATAGATAGATAGAAAATGAACAGAATATAGATAGATAGATAGATAGATAGATAGATAGATAGATAGATAGATAGATAGATAGATAGATACGAGCAAAGTTAGATAGATAGATAGATAGACAGACAGACAGAAAATGAACAGAATGAGATAGATAGATAGATAGATAGATAGATAGATAGATAGATAGATAGATAGATAGATGTGAACAGACTGAGATAGATAGATAGATAGATAGATAGATAGATAGATAGATAGATAGATCATGAAAAGACTAAAACAGAAATAAATAAGCCAAGATAGATAGATAGATAGATAGATAGATAGATAGATAGATAGAAAGGTAGAGGATAGATAGATATGAGCAGAGCTAGCTAGATAGATAGATGGATTTAAACAGACTAAGATAAATTGATAGATAGATAGATTTAAACAGACTGATAGATAGATAGATAGATAGATAGATAGATAGATAGATAGATAGAGATACGAGCAGACTCTGAATAGCATAAAGAAAATGAGATAGATACATAGACCGACTGACAGACAGACAAGCAGACAGATAGATAGATAGATAGATAGATAGATAGATAGATACTGAGATAGATCTGAACAGACTGAGGTAGATGAATAGATAGATATGAGCAGGGCCAGCTAGCTAGCTAGATAGATGGATTTAAACAGACTAAGATAAATTGATAGATAGATAGATAGATTTAAAAAGACTGATAGATAGATCGATAGATAGATAGATATGGTCAGACTGAGATAGATAGATAGATTGATAATAAACTGAGAATGATCAATACATAGATAGATACGAACAGACTGTGAATAGCATAAAGAAAATGAGATAGATAGATAGATAGATAGATAGATAGATAGATAGATCTAAACCGACTAAGATAGATAGATAGATATGTGTAGATAGATCTAAACAAATTTAGATAGATAGATAGATAGATAGATAGATAGAGAGATAGAGAGATAAACAGATAGATCTAAACCGTCGAAGATAGATAGATAGATAGATAGATAGATAGATAGATAGATAGATAGATAGATAGATAAGAGCAGACTGAATTCGCGTATTTGGTAGAAACAAAGAAAAGCGTACTAAGTTATATCCATCCTTTTATATGGCAATGAATGCTGGCTAATCGCCCCAACGGATGAGGAAAAAAATAGAGGTAACAAAAGTGTGGTTCTACAGAAGGATCCTGAGAATTCCGTGGAAGCAGCTAGTAGGCAACGAGGAAGTGGTAAAGAAAATGGCAACTTCGACTCAAACTCAAAAAGAAATTGCTGAAATTCCTTGGATACATAATGAGGAAGGAAGGCTTGGAAAATATAACCCTGACAAGGCATATTGAGGACAGCAGAGATGGTGGGGAAGGCATAGAGCCACTTGTCTGATAGGTTTGTGTGAATAAATGGCTGACCTGACAAAAATTGAGCTAAAATAAATAAAATAAATAATGTGATTTGTATAATACCGGGAGTATCCAATAAAACATCGATACCACTGAATGTCTAAAAATATAAATCGAATAGATTAATTAAATGGTTCATTGTTCTTTATTTTAGTTGTGGATTTTTTTTTTATCTCTGTTTTCTTGAATTGAAATAAAATCACTTCAAGTCTTTTGTTTCACTGCATCTCAGTATTAAAACTTTCTAACAATTCCGTTATTTTTTTGACGACACGGGTGCATTAGTTAATAATAATAAAACAGGCAAAATACACAGATAGAAAAACATGGTCGAGAAAATAGAGAAATGCATCAAGCAGAGGCTCAAGTTTTCCCTTTTGTGACTGGAACACGTTGAGGAGTATAACTTTGTTTATTAAACGATCGTATTGCTTGTACTCTGACCAATGGTTCGAAAAAAAAGAAAAAGAAAAAAAAAACGAACAAATGCCAATGAATGGTCTTCATCACCGTAAAATTAACCGTTTCCATAGAGAAAAAATTCGGCCTTCATTGACCAAGAATTTCGTTTTAATGTCGACTGAAATTTATAAAATCGAGAAAGATTTTTTAAAAAACAACTTTTCGGGAAAATAGACTACTTTAGTCCAGTAACTGTTATAGCTCTTTCTGTTTTTACGTGAGTTTCCTTCGTAACCTTTTGTTTTTGAGCAGAAATCCACCATCATGACTATTTCATTATTTTCCTGTCTAGTTACATCTCCTCCTCCTCCTCCTCCTCCTCCTCATCCTACTACTACTACTACTACTACTACTAATAATAATAATAATCAAAGAAAATCAGAATAAACCTAGTATCATCGCTTCAGAAGTCTGCGTTGCTTGGCACCGCAAATATTTCTCCAAAGGTGCTCTCTTTTTGAGATCTTACGACTTGATTGATATAATACCAGGATTATTCAATAAAACATGGATACCACTTAAATTCTAAAAAATATAAAGGGAACGGATTAATTAAACGGTTCATTGTTCTTTATTTTAGTTGTGTTTTTTTTTTTATCACCGTTTTCTTGAATCGCAATAAAATTACTTCAAGACTTTTGTTTCACTGCATCTCACTATTAAAACTTTCTGACAAATCCATTTTTTTTGGACGACACGGGTGCATTAGTTAATAATAATAAAACAGGCGAAATGCACAGATAGAAAAACATGACAGAGAAAATAGAGAAATGCATCAAGCAGAGGCTCAAGTTTTCCTTTTTGTGACAGGAACGCTTGGAGGACTATACCTTTGTCTATTAAGCGATCGTATTGCTCGAACTCTGACCAATGGTCCCAAAAAACAAAACAAATGCCAATGAATGGTCGACATAACAGTGAGATTAACCGTTTCCTGTAGTCACCTGCCCTTGCAGAAAGTACTCTTTTAGTGTGTATGATGCAAATACTTATCATATAAGTTCAGTTGTCGGTAGACGAAACTGCTGCCATATATACAAAAAATTAATAGATGTCTTTGGTAAGGTCCCAATCGATGCAGAGCGATTGGTCTGTCGAGTTAATAGCAATCCTAGAAAAGAGAGAAGAAACGGACCTTAGTGACGGGCGCCGCAGTGGCGGGCGCTGGTGCTGCGATTGTAGATGAGGCTAAAAAGATTTAAATTCTTATTATACCTGGCAGAAAAATCATTATAGCAAAACTGTGCGAACAACTTTAAGCGAGCTGTTGTAGTGTCTAAAGTTGACTGCTGTCTCTGGTCACTCGAAAACCTTTGCGAAGTAGGCTCTAAGAATGAGGAAATACTTCACTAATGAGACCACGCTTGTCGACGCCAAAGGGCTGCGCAAAACGGATAATGCCCATTAAGGTGTCTCTCAGAGAACAGCTGTTCTCCAATGGTAATGAGTTAAAAAGGGAGAGTATACTTGGACGGATGAAAAAAAAACTATCGGTACTGATGGTATCAAAAGAAAACTACAACACATATCAATTCGGTACTGAATCTCCTACGAAGTAGTCCCCTTCTAAAGTCAGGCAGTTTATCCAGCGCCGTTTCCATTGATGGAAGTATTCATGGAACTTCTTTTTGGTGGGGTGGAGATAGCGAGAATCTGCCTCGTTGCATTTTCCCGGGGTCTGGTAAACTTGGGAATCCAATATTTTAGGATTGTAGGTCCGGATCCGCCCCGGAATATTTTTAATTTACTCATGGATTCGGCTTGATTTCAAAATGTTATGATATGCTGGGCTACAGCCTTTAAGAGTAGCGTTGAAAAAACGGAAAATTTATTTTGAAACACTAATTTTTTCATTTGAACATGAGCTATTGAAAGTTAAAGAGTTGTATCCCTTTAATTGTCTTTATCAGCCAAAATGGCGGAATGCGTAAACAATGGCAGCAATGATAGCTTAGGAATCGAACATTTCAGGATTGCGGGTCTGGATCCAGCTTGGAATATTTTTAATTTGCTCACGAAGTCGGCCAGATTCAAAATGATATAATATTTGGGGCTAAGGCCTCTAGGAGTAAAGTTGAAAAAAAAAACGGACAATTTTATTTTGAAACACTGTAATTTTTTTATTTGAACATGAGCTATTGAAAGTTAAAGAGTTGTATCCCTTTAATTGTTTTTATGAACCAAAATGGCGGAATCCGTAAACAATTTTCAGCATTGAAAGCTTGGGAATCCAAAATTTCAGGATTGCGGGTCCGTATCCTGCCCGAAATATTTTTAATTTGCTCACGGAGTCGGCCTGATTCTAAAATGGTATATTATGTTAAGCTACGGCCTCTAGGAGTATAGTTGAAAATGTGTAATACAGTGACACACTGACATTCGCATTTATTATATAATAGAAATGAACTAAAAAAAAAAGGGAATGAGAAAGAGATTGAGGGTGAGAGGGGGAAGCGAAAATGGAAGAGAGAAAAGGGAAAATCTTTAGAAAAAATAGATAGGATAAGAGACTAAAAGAAAGAAACTGGGAAAGAGAGAAAGGGAGAGAGAAAGGATAGTCAGAAACGGAATGGAGAAATTTAGAAATAGATAGGGTAAGAAACTAAATGGAAGAGTTTGGGAAAGAGTGGACAAGCAGAGATGATATGGGAGTAAGTCTTTCGAAACAGATAGATATAAGAAAGTAAAAGCAAGAGTGTGGGAGAGAGAGAGAGAGAGAGAGAGAGAGAGAGAGAGAGAGAGAGAGAGAGGGGGGGCAGGCATCAATGGAAGGGCGTATTTTTTTAGAAAGCTCCTTTTTTCGGGGTGGGATAGTGAGCAGAAATCTCGCCGCATTCTCTTGGGTTTCCTCGATGTCTTGAAATCCCGTTTCCTTTTGAGCGGGATTTGATTTTTGAAGAGAAAAATGTAGCAAGGGGAATATGGTGGTTGCCGGTCGTAGGGAATGCTGGGACTGGCCAAAAACTACTGCACAATCCGCGGTCACTGGCTTTCACGTGGCAAACATAATATATAGACGCTTGTCCTGTACTCGAGTGAGTCTCTCAGGGATACACGAATCCACCACGTACAAGTCCTGTCCACTAACCAGTTGTAATATAGTGTTACTGACACGCAGGAATTAGTATACTCAACTGGCTCATGGGTATTAGCTGTAGTTATTTATAGTGTTTTTGATTTCATACGGAAATGCTGACAACCTTAAATGATGTTGGCATGGACAAGATCACCGAAATAACAAATGAAATCTACAACAGTGGAGATATACCGGGAGACCTCAACAGATCTACCTTCGTAGCAATGCCTAAGAAACAATGCGCAAACGAATGCGAACTCCACCGAACAATAAGCCTGATGAAACACGTGACAAAACTTATCATCCACATTCTGTTAAATAGAGTGCGCAGCAGAATCGGGCCAGAGATAGGATAAGAACAGTGCGGGTTCGTTAAAGACGCCGGAACAAGGAACGCAATATTCATGCTCAGAATGTTATCAGATAGAGCGATAAAAGCTTCTTTTCACAGTTTGCTACGATAAGTGGCAATACGTCAAATATATTTTTTTAGTTCTACGAAGGCTTCAAAATAGCCTAACATTTTTAGCACGGATCCGTCAAGGCTTTTCTTTAATCTTGGTTTTTCTTCCAGAAATTTCTGTGTCTCAACGTCACGCCACTTCCCGTATCTAGTTGCATTTCCGATAAAACATTAGTGATTTGAATTTTTAATAACCATTTCTCATTTTTTTTTCAATGAAAAGACGTCCGTACTTAGTTCCTCTTCATTTTGTTGGACCGTCTCTACATTTTTCTTTTTGGATTTATACATACGTTTGAAATGATTCGGTTGAAGCACTTTTCATATTTTTTTTGTGCCGGACATTTTTGTTTTTCTATTTGAAGTTGATATCCGCAAAAAGTGTGCATTATTCTATCTTATTTTTCGCGTATGTGTCCATTTTCTCTAATAGATCCGTAACTTTTATTTTATTAAATTTTCGAATTAATTCATGCTGCAGAACAAATTCTACACACTATTCTAGCGACATCTCTCCCAGTTGTAAATGCATTAGAGTCATTTGCAGATGCTTCTCACTTTGAAGGCCGTTTAACAATTTCATTTGGATAAAATTCTCTTAGATGGACTGGTTTTCCGATCACAGTTTCTCAAATTCACAATATCTGGGCTTGTTTTAAACAAAGAAAATATTCAAGAACTGGTTCATTGATTTTTTGAGAAATATTACTGTTGTGGTAGGATCCACCTAATTTGCATAGTGGAGTACCGACCATATAAATATGGTTGGTACCGGGAATAGAAGGGGAGGAATCAAGAGATTCAACCAGAGACTCTGCCCGAGTGCGACTAACTCAACCCATTCTCCAGGAACGGTCTTCCCAGGAATATACAAAAGACTATATGTAAATATTGTGTACACTTTCTTGTTTCAATACATTTTGTTCTAAGTACATTTTGTGTTGTATTATTATTATTCCATGCATTAGTCAAGTTTCAACAATTACTAAACTTAGCTCTCCATGCATTCACTAGTTTTTTTCTTTGGTGTTATGTTTTCAGTTTCTGATAATTTTATAATGGTGCTGTGGATTCCGGGTTGAAATCCGGTACCAATAAATAACAAACGCCAGGAATGAATATATGAAAATAATGTATTAACGTAATAATACAAACTGGTAAAGCAGGTTAGTAGTTCCAGGAATGCGGGTTAGTAGCAATATATATATATATATATATATAGTCTTTGGTATTGAAGTATCGCTGTATGACTTCTTACTGAGTCTACGCGCTCGCTCACTGTGACTCCTACAGCGCTGTTACCTCACCCTCACACTTTCGGTTACCTACAACCTTTTACTCTGTCACTCTGGACTCGACTCGACTCTTCGGTCTTGCTCACATCTCACTCTCGGGTCTTCCCGTAGCAGTAGTATATGTATATACTGGGTGAGTCCATTTGTGTAAAAAGGAGGTGGACCCCTCAAGAAATGGCCTCGCAACCAGCAGTTGCCAAGACGAGATCAGTTATTTGGTTTTCTCTCCCAACTAATTTCAAGTGCTTCAGATTTTTGTTCGAGGTTTAGCTACTAGTATACTAAGCCACGCATGTGCGTACTCATAATTATCCAATGATAGTTGTTCGTTCGGTTCTTTAGTAATACTGATGCACTAGAGGTAGTATGCACGCAACTGCCTCAGGAGTGACAGCCGTAGCTATTTATAGTCCTTGTAACTTCATAAGCTCATAACCGTTGTATCTTAGAGAACCGATTAAAGACATCCAACGAGAATTATCCGAGGTTTTTATGACACTATTTTTGGACGCTACTTTGAGCAACTAACAATGACGTATAAGCTTAGCAAAAGAATCGTGAAGCTCATGAAGGATTGAAATAAAGCTCAAAAATATATATATATATATATATATATATATATATATATATATATATATATATTTGAACTTTAAGTTCAAAAATATATATATATATATATATTTGAACTTTATTTCAATCTTATTTCATATATATATATATATATATATATATATATATATATATATAAAAGAATCATTTTTCAACTTATTCAAGATAATCTTCGCCCTCTCTAACCTTCTAACTTTCTGTCCTGGCGTAACAAGATGCCTCACAAGTTTCACGTACGATTTCATGTTTAAGTCTTATTTTCCACTGATCTGCTTGATCCTCATACGTCGAATTCGACAGGAGAGTCATATATATATATATATATATATATATATATATATATATATATATATATATATATATATATATATATATATATATATATATATATATGTGTGTGTATGTGCGTCTGTCTGTCTGTCTGTGTATGCATGATAGTTTTAATGTTTGCTATATATATGGATTAAAGTGCTCGATATCAGGAATAGAGCGTATGTAAATATATATATATATATATATATATATATATATATATATATATATATATATATATATATATATAGCTGAATCTCTTCTCTCACAATTTCTTACGAAATAATGTAAACATTTGAATCTGTTCATAAATTGTCTAGGATTTATATGCAGACAACTTCGTGTTACGACCTATATAATAAAAAAAAAAATATATTCGGTGAGTTTGAATTTAGAGTAGGTCCCATTTGATTGTTTAATCACATTAAAGCCCAAAAGTCTATTTTTAATTCTGTTTTTTTTTTCTCGCGAAAAAAGGGAATGTACTCTGCTTTTGAAATTAAAATAATCGTTCACTCGCTAGTAGGTTACTATCACCCGAGGAGGCACATTTGTAGTGTTGAAAAATAATTGAAAATGTGTATCGATTTTTCACACGTTTTTGTCTTACGGAGAGTGTAATTACAGTCCATTCGTCCTCATTTTACACACACACACACACACACACACACACACACACACACATATATATATATATATATATATTGCGTCTAGCATTAAACAGCCTGTCGCCTCTGAGGGTTGACTTCAATGCTCACTTTTATATTTATATTTGCATACGCACTATCTCTGATATTGGGAACTTAAAAGTTTACCCCATAAATATAGCACCCCTAAAACTAAATTTCTTCATCTTCTGATATATATATATATATATATATATATATATATATATATATATATATATATATATATATTTAAGTTATGAAGAACTTGGTAAACTGAATTGGTAAATCCAAGGAGGATGAAATCACGAGAGCTCAATGTGAAGAACAGAGCTAAATAAATAGGTCAAGGTTAGGTCACCTCCTACCCCAATTTAAAGCTTATTTAAGAGAGATGTAAATTTAACCCTCCCTATAATTTGTATTGTCTCTTTAACCACCACCTTCACCTCCCTGTTTAATTACAAAAAATTACACTACCCATCAATTTCTAATCACATTTTTCCTCTCATTTCATTGTTGGAAGTGTTATTTTTATGACCCGAAATCCTTTAAAAAGCATTTTGGTGAAATAAATTATTGTAATGGTACCTTAAAGTTGTCTGTTTTTTATATATATATATATATATATATATATATATATATATATATATATATATATATATATATATATATAGGTCGAACTCAATTAAAGGGATTTCGTGACCTGAAATGTTCGTAACCCGAAACTATTTTTACAATAGGAATTAATGTTGAGAAAAAAGAAACAGTCACTAAAATTGGAAAAAAGAAAAGCACAACACAACACAAGAATGTATCCAACATGGCGGTCGATTCAGAAATGACTTCGGCTGGGTTCGGCTACGTTGTTCGAGAATTGAAATTTTGTTCCATAACCTACGCATTTTCATCTCGAATTTTCTGTTCGAAAACCGATTTGTTCTACATTAGACATATGAGACGTTCGAGAAGCGAGGTTGCGCTAAATATATATATATATATATATATATATATATATATATATATATATATATATATATATATATTTACATACGGTCTATTCTGATATCGAGCACTTTAATCCATATATATAGCAAACATTAAAACTATCATGCATACACACACACACACACACACACACACACACATATATATATATATATATATATATATGACCCTCCCGTCGAATTCGATGTATGAGGGTCAAGCAGATCAGTTCCTAGGAAACTGACAGCCTGACACCAGCACATGAGATTTGATTATAGTGGTGAAGGTTTCGTGCAGGACCATCCACATTTTTTGAAGGGACGAATACAGAGACCTGGTGCACTACGTGCCACAAGGTCCCCAAACGACGTTCCGCAGGTTTTGAATTCAGAGTTGTCCTTCTCCTAGATCAGTTGCCATCCAAGGCTATAGAACCCAGGCGGCACGGTGGAGTAATGGATAGCGGCTTGGGTTGAGAAATCGGAGAGCTGAGTTCGAATTCCAGTCGAATCCATTACATTCACTTATGTGCTAATACCTTTGGGAAAGGTATGGATAATCTTCTCCCTCCAGCTATGGGTAAATAGCAGGACAGACTGGGTTGTATAGCTTTGGATGGCAACTAGTCTAGGAGAAGGACAACTCTCAATTCCAAAACCTGCTGCATGTCGTTTGGGGACCCTGTGTGTGTGTGTGTATATATATATATATATATATATATATGTGTGTGTGTGTGTGTGTGTGTGTGTATTACTTGCATAGACACACAGCCATTTATGTCATTTGCGCATAAAAGCTGGAAGTAATAAAGAAACACCTTTACACGTAGTACGATTTGTAATATTTTTACGTATAATTTTTAATCAATAAAGTCTTTCAAAGATCCATTAAATAAAACTCCGTCCCAAGCAAGGATATGAAGATATATCGGCCTGTTAGCTGTTTAGCTGTGAAGTGACGTGCCAATTATTTAAATTTCTCTTAATCTTTTGACAGCCGTAAAGGTAAAATCTTTCCCAACCCTTAAATGTATATGCATAATGATAAGTGGGAAAAATAAATGAATATAGAAAAGAGAGAAATGCGGGAAATCTTATGTGCATTGCAAATTATACTCGCCAAGAAAAAACGCTAGAGCAAGCCACGTAAATTCTCGCAGGAAGAGCGAGTCACGTGATTTCTTCTCGTTTTTTTTTTCCTTCGTAGCAAAGCATACTGGGAGTATGCAGAAACAAGATCTTTATTGAAGTGATGGAGGATGAGAAAGAAAAGATGAATTGAACAAGGAAGAAAAAGACAGGGAAAACAAAATGGAAAAAAGAGAGGTATAAATATAGGAAAAGAAAAAAAGGAAAGAAAGAAAAAGAGAGGGAAAGAAGAGAATAAGAGAAAGACAGACAGAAAAGGATAGAAAAAAGAAAAGAAAGAAAGAGAGAGAGGGGAAAAAAAAAAGCGAAAAGCGAGAGAGAAAAACAAAAGAAAAGTAAAAGAAAAGAAAGGTAAGAGTAAAAAAAAAAAAAAAAAAAAAAAAAAGAAGGAAAATGGAAAAGAAAAGTAAAAGAGAAAACGGGAAGGAAAACGAAACAAACAAATAAAAAGATAAAAAGATAAAAGAAAAGGAATATGAAAAAAAACTTTAAAAAAATAAATAGAGCAAAAGTAAAATGAGAAGAAGAAGAAGAAGAAGAAGAAGAAGAAGAAAGGCAAAAGAGATTGAGAAAAAGAAAAGAAAAGAAAAAGAAAAGAAAGGAAAAATAAAGAAAAAAGAAAGGCAAAAGAGAATGAGATAAAGAAAAGAAAAGAAAAAGAAAAGAAAGGAAAAATAAAGAAAAAAGAAAGGCAAAAGAGAATGAGAAAACGAAAAGAAAAGAAAAAGAAAAGAAAGGAAAAATAAAGAAAAAAGAAAGGCAAAAGAGAATGAGATAAAGAAAAGAAAAGAAAAAGAAAAGAAAGGAAAAATAAAGAAAAAAGAAAGGCAAAAGAGAATGAGAAAACGAAAAGAAAAGAAAAAGAAAAGAAAGGAAAAATAAAGAAAAAAGAAAGGCAAAAGAGAATGAGAAAAAGAAAAGAAAAAAAAAGAAAAGAAAGGAAAAATAAAAAAAAAGAAAGGCAAAAGAGAATGAGAAAAACGAAAAGAAAAAAAAAGAAAAAAAAGGAAAAAAAAAAAAAAAAAAGGCAAAAAGAGAATGAGATAAAGAAAAGAAAAGAAAAAGAAAAGAAAGGAAAAATAAAGAAAAAGAAAGGCAAAAGAGAATGAGAAAACGAAAAGAAAAGAAAAGAAAAAGAAAGGAAAAATAAAGAAAAGAAAGGTAAAAAGAGAATGAGATAAAGAAAAGAAAAGAAAAAGAAAAGAAAAGAAAAAGAAATGAAAAGAAAGGAAAAATAAAGAAAAAAGAAAAAAAGAAAGGCATAAGAGAATGAGAAAAAGAAAAGAAAAGAAAAATAAAGAAAAAAGAAAGGCAAAAGAGAATGAGAAAAAGGAAAGAAAAAGAAAAGAAAGGAAAAATAAAGAAAAAAGGAAAAATAGAATGAGAAAAAGGAAAGAAAAGAAAAAGAAAAGAATGGAAAAATAAAGGAAAAAGAAAGGCAAAAGAGAATGAGGAAAAGAAAAGTAAAGGAAAAGAAAACAAAGGAAAAATAAAGAAAAAAGAAAGGCAAAAGAGAATGAGAAATAAAAAAGAAAAGGAAAAGAAAGGAAAAATATAAAAAAAAGGCAAAAGCGAATGAGAAAAAAATAGAATGGAAAAATGAGGAAAAAATGAAGAAAAAGAACGGCAAAAGAGAATGTGAAAAAGAAAAGTAAAAGAAAAGAAAGGAAAACAAAGAAAAAAGAAGAAGGGAAATAGAAAACAAAGGACAGAAATGAAAAAAGATAAAAGAAAAAAGAAAAGAAAGGAAAAATTAAAGAGAAAAAAGAAAAGAAAAGAAAGGAAAACATACAGAGAGAAAGTAAAGAAAAGAAAAAAGAAAATAAAAAGAGAAAGCGAAAAAGAAAAGGAAAGAAAAGAAAGAAAAAAGAGAAAAAGAAAACGAAGGAACAGATAGAGATAAATTTAAATTAAAGAAAAGGAAAGAAATCAGAAAGACAAAGAAATGAAAGGAAAAAGAAAAGAAAAGAAAGAATGAACGGCAAAAATAAAGAGAAAAAGAAAAGAAAAGAAAAGAAAAGAAAGAAAAAGAGAAAGAGAAAAAAGTAACGAAAAAGAAAAGAACGGGAAAAGTGAAAAATAAAAGAAAAAAGAAAAGAAAAGAAAAAAGAAAAGAAACAAAGAAGACAATGAGTAAAAGAAAAAAGAAAAGAAAGGAAAAAGAGCAGTAAAATAGAAATGAAAAATAGAAAAAAAGGAGAGAAAAGATAAAAAGAAATGAAAAGAACGGAAGAAAGAAAGGAAAAACGAGTAAGAGAAAAGCAAAACAAATGAGAGAAGAAAGAAAAAGGAGAAAGAAAAGAAAAGAAAAATGAAAGAAAAAAGAGACGGAGAAAAAGAAAAGAAAAAGAAAGGAAAAAGACAAAGAGAATCAAATAAAAGAAAAAGAAAAGAAAGGAAAAAGAGATATATATTTATACAATTAAACATCGCTATGGTAGCTAGACTCTTTAAATTTAAGTTTAGTACTAGAGTGGTGACGCAATCTCATCAGTTTACAGTAGAGCTGACCTACTGTAGCCGTAAGTTCTATCCTAACAGTTTCTTCTCTCGCACTTCTCACTTGTGGAACTCCCTTCCGGCTTCATGCTTTCCAGTCAACTTTAACCTGCAAAAATTTAAATGCAATGTCAATCACTATCTACTGTCCTTCTGATTACTCTCTTTTCTTTCTGCGCATGATTATTGTTTCTGTTCCTAGTTCTTTCACACCCTATAACCCCTAAACATCATTCTCAAAGTATTTCTAGCACTTAAAAGAATCTAATAAAACACCTACAGTAAAATGAAATTAATAAGAAAAGCTAGAATATGTAGTTCATTAAATGACCCATGTCCTTTGTACATACATGAGAAACTATATATTACTAAGTTTATAAAAAAAATTTTTTTACTGAATCAGAGAAATGAATTAGCTATTTTTTTGCCGTCATTGTCAAAAATTTTCCTCAAATAATATTTAAAAATAAAATTTAAAGAAAAAAAATGTGACCTGGTAATATACATAGTTATACTTGATATGAAAAAAATAATTTTATATACTGTAAGTAGTTCTAATACATTTACTTGTTTTAAAAGAAATATAGTCTATTAAAAATTAAAAGTGAAAATATTTTAAAATTGTAGTTAAATAAATCGTATCATAACTTAAACATACCCCCAAAAATCTTTAAGCATACAAATAGAAAAAATGCCGTAAGAATTTTTGCCGTTAACGATAAAATAAAAAAAAAATCCAGACGACATGCATTTAACGGATGTCAGAATTCGTTGAAAAATACATCCCTTCCCCTACCTAAACTTAACCCCTTTTTCGAACGTAACTAATAACTGATACAACAAAAGTTAATAAAAATGAACACGCTTGAATGGATTTTTCTTTATCCTTGAAACAGTTGAATTATTAATTTTTCTGTACCTTTAAAACTCAGTAAATTTTAAAAAATAAGTTACTCCAAAATTCGCTTGAGGGTGAAATGGAGCTAATCTTTTTAATTTAATTACAAAATTAAATTCGAAGCTTTTAGCTTCCATTTTTGAAAGATAGTTATTACTGTGTAGCGAAGAAACATATTTTAAATCAGTTAATTTATAATATATATATATATATATATATATATATATATATATATATATATATATATATATTGATACATGTTTCATTAAATAATATAGACAAGTTTTGTCTATTTATTTTAAGTAAGTTCCTTTCATATTGTCTGATAAGCTTAATAATATTATCATTGAAGGAGGAAAGGCAATCACCATATTGATACATGTTTGAATCCAATCTAAGCTTTCGGCTAACATAAGTCATTGTCAAATATTACAATTACTTATCAATATATCAACCAATACACGGAACACTAATGATAGTCTGTTTTTGTTGCATGAAACATTTCAAAGCAACGACTAACTCGTGTATACGAGACGCGGAAGCGAAAATCGCGTAGCAGCTCGTGACGTCACACATGACCAGGCGAGAGTGAAAACGAGAAGTATTAAGTATGGGAGACCGTTGGTATAAACCAATGCCTTCTGTTATCAATTATAGGCGTTTAAGAATGTCTGTGGAGATTTCGTAGTTTATTTTGTTCAGGTTAGGTTTCAACTGTTTTATGTATATGAAATTTTTCATGCATCAATGAAAAATTGCTGCCTAAATATACACTATATATATATATATATATATATATATATATATATATATATATATATATATATATATATATATATATATAATACAGAAATCCAACGTATAGACTATTTCAACTAACGTCAATGCGTTAGCTTTATTCAACTCAAATGGTGGACTGTATTTAACGTCGGAACTAGAAATTTAAGATTAAATATTTAAGAGTCAGTAGTTAACCAAAGAGTTCTGACTTCTCACGCTGAATATAGTCTAACATTTGAGTAGATATTAGGTGAAAGAATCTATACTGATCAGGAAATTTTAGATTTGTCTATTATATATTAATATGCTCTGTCATAATAAATACATTGAGCTCTTTTTGTGGATTAGTTTTAATATTTTATATTATTTGGAACCACTTGGATTATATACTAATGGATTTATCACCCGTACTATATATATATATATATATATATATATATATATATATATATATATATATATTGCCATCCACAGACACACTGTTTTGTTCATTAGTGTGGCTAGACACCCGATCGGGATTGAAAACCGACATATTTTGTATCGGTCGGAGATACTAAACCCTAGGCTATCGACGGCCGACAGAGAGAAAGGTGAATTTTTGCGTATTTATTTTTTCATAAACAAGACCAATCACTCAGAGAACTCAAACGCTAGGAGAGTCTTGCATTATCAGCAGTAATAGTCAATGTTTTACAAATTCCTTCCTTACTCCCCACGGTGCCCGACCGATTAAATTATTTTATCGATAGCTAATATATATATATACACACACACACACACATATATATATATATATATATATATATATATATATATATATATATATATATATATATATATATATATATATATATATATATATATATATGTATATGCTGAACAATAAAAAATATTAAAATATTAAAATCTTCAGACACACTGGGTTGTATATTAATATTCCTTCGTTTTTATTATTATTTCGTTTAGATTCCTCGACTAGTCTCGGCTAACATGGCCATCATCAGGAGAAAAATAATTTTTTGCTTGTTGGTAGCAGTGAACTACAGAAATGAATGTCTTGATGGAGAAAGATAACTTTTGTCTGTAGTTTTCATTTGTCTTTTTAATTTTTATTTTTTTAACATGAATTTTGGTCAGTCCTTGTGTTGGTCAAACAGTCTCTTTTAAGTTGTTATTCGAGATAAGAGCTGGATGGATTCATGCTGCTCTGAATTCCCTTGGTCAGTTTGACAGTTTTATTGGTTCCTGGAAAGGAGATGTGTCGCTTTTTATTGTGTTATTTCCTGGAATGATGTGTATAAGCTTGTATATTCGTGGGTATGTGAGGCCTCAACACTTCCGTAAGCATGTCTGTCTTGTGTAGGTATATATATATATATATATATATATATATATATATATATATATAATTATTTATTTAAAAAAAAAAATTTATAACATAAATATGTTATAAAATTACAAAATAGCTATTTTGTTTCAACACCCTCGGTGTCTTATCAAGTGATGATGTTGAATGTAAAATAAATGGTTTTAAAAGTTTCAAATTAATTAACTATCCTTCACAAGGGGAAAACGTTGTTACAAAAGCTAGAATAACCATCAAAAACCAAGTATATAAAGATTCAAAAGCTTGACAACGAAAATGTTATAATAGCTGTTATGTTATATATATATATATATATATATATATATATATATATATATATATATATATTGTATATTTAGGCAGCAATCCTTCGTTTATGCATAATTTTTTATTTTAAAAAAAAATTTATAGAAACATATAAATATATTAACTGCATACCTGCAAAAAAAAGAAAAAAATAACTACAATAAAATACGAACAAAGCCCATTTTGAAATTAAAACATTTCACACTAAGATATACACATAATGCACACGCTCAATTAAGTTTAAAATCGAAATCATCCTTGTGTCTTATGGACAACCCTTTGTCCAGAAAAGAAAGCTCTTGTTAGAACACAAGAAAAAATTAAATTAAAAAAAGCTTAACCGGTTTGTCTGTCGTTTTAATGAAAAATATAAATATATATATTTATATATATATATATAATTAATATAACTATCCTTCAAACAAGGGATAAACGTTGTTAAAAAAAAGCTAGAATAACCAATCAAAAACCAAATGATCATGTCGTCGACAGTTTCACATTGGGCATATAAAATTTGATGTAAAACGTATTCCAAACGAATAATGAAATTTTATAAATCAGCGTTCCGTTTAAAATATTGTCGTCGTCACGTCGATTGTGAAAAACGAAAGATGATTTTATAAAAATTAAAAAGTTCATTTTATCCCTTCAAGAAATCCCTTCCGTTGATGTCGGAATACGTAGTGATCAATAGGTTCTTATTTAAATCATATTTAAACGGAACGCTGATCTTGTATACAAATTTCAGTTATCTGTTTGGATTAGTTGGGCTCTTATGTCCATCGTATTTTCGTGTTGAATTTTTATATGTTCTAATGTTAATTATGTTTAAATGAAAATGTCCTGAAGATGGTCTAAAATAGACCGAAACATCCGACGTCGACTTTATATTAACATTAATACTACATAATTGCATATTCAGATTTTTGTTTGTTTTTTCTGTATTTTTCTTCATATATATATATATATATATATATATGTGTGTGTGTGTGTGTGTTTTTCTTCCTATTTCGATTCAATAATAATGCTGTCAAAGTACTGTACAATATTTTCTTCGCTGTCACTTGCAATATATATTTGGATATGTTGGCAACATTCACAGAGATCCAAAATCAAGACTCTCGAAAGAGAAAACAACTGTGTTTGTGTGTTTGTCTGTAAGTCAGGAGTAGAACTTCGCCTGAGCCGGGCAATGTTTTCCTTGTGAAGTGCGTGTGTGCAGCTATAAGCGACACGTCTTGTCCTCTAGGACGTGAGCGATTATGACACATCTCACCATAGATTCTTTTCCCCCTTTTTGGACTCTTCTTTTCCAAGCCCTTATCCGACATCTGTTTACACAAGCTTCTACGATAAGTTTACACGCTAGAGAGCCGGCGCATACTACCCCCGAACCCCGGGCCGCGTTGGCCGAAGCCTGATTAGACGCCCTCGGTAGTGTATTGTGACCCTAGCTATCTTATCAACACTTGATTTTTTTTCTGCCTATTTCTATTTTATGCCCAAAGTATTTTTAAATGATATCCACTTGAAAATATTTTTTTAAATATGACAAAAAATATTTTTTTAAATATTTAAAATATTGTTTGTTTCAAGAAAGCTGAAAAATAAATAATTACTCTACAAACAATTGAACGAAACAGCAAAGCGGGATTTCTTTGTGTCTGTCTTTAACTTAGAAATATTTTAATTAAAAATATTGTCTTTTTGAAGAAAGTTAAAAAAGTTTTAAATCTTATCCACTTAAATCAGATTAACTTAAAAATACTATAATCATATCCACTAGAAAATACTTTTTCAAGATGCCAAAAAATATTTCTTAAATATTTAAAATTTTGTTTGTTTGAAGAAAGCTGAAAAATAAATAAATAATTACTCTACAAACAATTGAACGAAACAGCAAATCAGGATCCCTTTGTCTCTAACTTAAAAATATTTTAAATGAAAGTATTTTCTTTTTGAAGAAAGTTAAAATAAAAATACTTACTGTATAAAGAATTCGTATTTTTAAATATTATGCACTTAAATCAGGTTAACTTAAAACCTATTTTTCTAATATACAAAAATATTTTAAAACCATATCCACTTGAAAATTTTTTTAAATATACGTTTGTTGAAAGAAAGCTAAAATATAAATAATTATATAATATTATATAATAATCTTTAACTTAGAAATATTTTAATTAAGAATATTTTCTTTTTAAAGAAAGTTAAAAAGTTTTAAATCTTATGCACTTAAATCAGATTAACTTAAAATTACTATAATCATATCCACTAGAAAATACTTTTAAATATGCCAAAAAATATTTTTAAAATATTTAAAATATACTTCTTTAATGAAAGCTGAAATTAAATATATTACATAATAAATAAATAAATGAAATAATTACTTTACAAACTTTTTTTTTAAATTTCAGCTTTCGTTAGAGAAACAATATTTTAAATATTTTAAAAATATTTTTGGTATATTTACAAAAAGTATTTCCAAGTGGATATGATTTAATAATATTTTAGGCATATTAAAAAAAGTATTTTTAAGTTAATCTGATTTAAGTGAATAAGATTTAAAAAATTTTAACTTTCTTCAAAAAGAATATCTTTAATAATTACTCTAGAAACACCTACTGCGGGAAAGAAAACTGCCTCGTCAGTCATGTATCGAAAGATACATGATCGCCTACGCGTGTATCACGCATGGCACATAACTGACTGACTGCCTCTACAAACAACTTGACGAAACAGCAAAGCGGGATCTCTTTGTGTCTGTCTTTAACTTTGAAATGTCTTTAACGTAAAAATAGTTTAATTAAAACAAATTGACTGAAGAAACTTAAAATAAAAATGTTTATTGTATAAAGAATTCATATTGCTAAATCTTATTCACTTAATAATCTTAAAATCAGATTAATCAATTAATCTTAAAATCAGATTAAATTAAAACATTATGCGCCGGTCGAACACACCACACAAGCACGCTCACAATCACAGACTTTCAGAATTAGATAGATAGATCAATTTTTTTATTATATTAGGTTACAATAATTTTTAAAAAATTTATATGGATACTACCTTATGAAAAATGAGATGTCGTCCAGGGTAGGTGGTGGGGGGGTTGTATCATAGATTCGAGGTGAACACCATAAGGCAGAAACACGAGGTGAACACCACGAGACCCGTCCACGGGTTCTGACACGTTGTGTTCCACTGTTTCGTTCGCCATCAATCATACTTATTATAAAACCAAGGTTGTGTGTGTGTCTGTTCGTTTATATATTGGATCGGATTTCCTACATTTTTCAACCGATTTCAACAAAACTACACAGGACTACGTAAAATTACCTTGCGGTGGTTCTGACAGCGCCAAGAATTGGAAAAACACAATTGTTTTTGCATGAAATCAATTTGAAAACACGATTAAGAGGCATCACTGTCACCAGAATGAAAGGGGGACAACTCATATCGAGTTATACTTATTATAAAACCCAGCTTGTTTGTGTGTGTGTACGTGTGTGTGTGTGTGTGTGTGTGTGTGTTCGTTTATATATGGGATCGGATTTCCTACATTTTTCAACCGATTTCAACAAAACTTCACTTTTTTTTTGGCAGGTAGTGTTTCTTATTGTCTTGCACACTTTTTTTCTTTATTTTTACATTCAGAATGCTTTAAAATTCCATTTACAAGACAATTGTTTATAATAAAATTCTATTCAATCGATAGACTCATAACGATTGAAACAATGTTTTTGTTTGAGTTTGGGTTTGACCAATTCGTAAAAAAAAACTAATTAAGACATGCGTGTCTGTCAACCTTAAACAATAATCTTTGTCAATTTTATTTTTCAGTCTTTATGATGGTCGATACTTGATCTATCTCTTACTGTTACATCCCCGGGCAACGCCGGGCTCTACTGCTAGTATGCTATATATTAATATTGAATTTTTCTACTGACTTTCAAGATGTTGAGGGAATATGACTCCCCACAAATTCCTCTTCTCCGCAACTCTTAGCAAGGTTTTTCCTGTTTATTCTGTTTTACTGTTTAGCCAACCGTTTCCTCAAGCACGTTTGACAAGGCCGCATCACGTTGCAACACCGGTTTCCATACGATCACAGAAGTTAAGAAACGTCGGGGCTGGTCATTACCTAGATGGGTAACCGCTTGGAAATAGCCGATAGAGGTGCGGAATTTATGGCCATAAGAAAGGCCTGAAAAGATTATCCAGCATTCATTGCCATATAGAACATATGTACATAACAGTCCCGCACACTTTTATTTGTTTCTGATAATATTTTCCTATCTCTTAATACTTTGCTTAGTTTATGAAAGGCATGAAGAGATTGTCCATCATTCATTGCCATATAGGAGGATTGATATTACATAGCAGTCCGCAACTATTTTCTTTGTTTTTAAAAATATTTTCCTATCTCTTAATACTTTGCTTAGTTTATGAAAGGCATGAAGAGATTGTCCATCATTCATTGCCATATAAGAGGATTGATATTACATAGCAGTCGGCCACTCTTTTCTTTGTTTCTAATAATATTTTCCTATCTCTTAATACTTTGCTTAGTATATGAAAGGCAGTAAGAGATTGTCCATCATTCATTGCCATATAAGAGGATTGATATTACATAGCAGTCGGGCACTCTTTTCTTTGTTTCTAACAATATTTTCCTATCTCTTAATACTTTGCTTAGTTTATGAAAGGCATGAAGAGATTGTCCATCATTCATTGCCATATAGAAGGATTGATATTACATAGCAGTCGGGCACTCTTTTCTTTGTTTCTAACAATATTTTCCTATCTCTTAATACTTTGCTTAGTTTATGAAAGGCATGAAGATATTGTCCATCATTCATTGCCATATAAGAGGATTGATATTACATAGCAGTCGGCCACTATTTTCTTTGTTTCTAATAATATTTTCCTATCTCTTAATACTTTGCTTAGTTTATGAAAGGCATGAAGAGATTGTCCATCATTCAATGCCATATAGAAGGATTGATATTACATAGCAGTCGGCCACTCTTTTCTTTGTTTTTAACAATATTTTCCTATCTCTTAATACTTTGCTTAGTTTATGAAAGGCATGAAGAGATTGTCCATCATTCATTGCCATATAGAAGGATTGATATTACATAGCAGTCGGCCACTCTTTTCTTTGTTTTTAACAATATTTTCCTATCTCTTAATACTTTGCTTAGTTTATGAAAGGCATGAAGAGATTGTCCATCATTCATTGCCATATAGAAGGATTGATATTACATAGCAGTCGGCCACTCTTTTTTTTTGTTTTAACAATATTTTCCTATCTCTTAATACTTTGCTTAGTTTATGAAAGGCATGAAGAGATTGTCCATCATTCATTGCCATATAGAAGGATTGATATTACATAGCAGTCGGCCACTCTTTCTTTGTTTTTAAGGCAATATTTTCCTATCTCTTAATACTTTGCTTATTTTCCTATCTTTTTATGAAAGGCATGAAGAGATTGTCCATCATTCATTACCATATAGAAGGATTGATATTACATAGCAGTCGGCCACTCTTTTTTTTTGTTTTTAACAATATTTTCCTATCTCTTAATACTTTGCTTAGTTTATGAAAGGCATGAAGAGATTGTCCATCATTCATTGCCATATAGAAGGATTGATATTATTATAGCAGTTTAAATATTTTCACCCACTCTTTTCTTTGTTTTTTAACAATATTTTCCTATCTCTTAATACTTTGCTTAGTTTATGAAAGGCATGAAGAGATTGTCCATCATTCATTGCCATATAGAAGGATTGATATTACATAGCAGTCGGCCACTCTTTTCTTTGTTTTTAACAATATTTTCCTATCTCTTAATACTTTGCTTAGTTTATGAAAGGCATGAAGAGATTGTCCATCATTGATTGCCATATAGGAGGATTGATATTACATAGCAGTCGGCCACTCTTT